GACAACTTTCGGCCAGTTTCCAATCTCCCCTTTTTGGGCAAAGTCATGGAAAGCGTAGTGGCCTCACAACTCCAGGTATTCTTGAGAGACACGGATTATCTGGATTCGGCACAGTCTGGTTTCAGACCGGGACATGGAACTGAGACGGTCTTGGTCGCCTTAGTGGATGATCTGCGCCGGGAGCTAGACAGGGGGAGTGTGTCCCTGTTGGTGCTCCTGGACCTCTCAGTGGCCTTCGATACCGTCGACCACGGTATCCTTCTGGGGCGTCTTGCGGAGATGGGCCTCGGGGGCACTGTTCTACAGTGGCTCCGGTCATTTCTGGAGGGTCGCACCCAGAAGGTGTTATTGGGGGACACCTGTTCAACGCCACAGCCTTTGACTTGTGGGGTTCCACAGGGCTCTATACTGTCCCCCATGCTGTTTAATATCTACATGAAGCCGCTGGGTGAGATCATCCGGAGTTTCGGGGTGCGGTGTCATCTGTACGCAGATGATGTCCAACTCTGTCACTCCTTCCCACCTGCTACTAAGGCGGCTGTCGAGGTCCTGAACCGGTGCCTGGCCGCTGTAACGGTCTGGATGAGGGCGAACAAACTGAAATTAAATCCAGACAAGACAGAGGTACTCCTGGTCAGTCGCAAGGCCGAACGGGTATAGGGTTACAGCCTGTGCTGGATGGGGTCGCACTCCCCTTGAAGGCGCAGGTTCGCAGCTTGGGTGTGATCCTGAATTCATCGTTGAGCCTGGATCCCCAGGTCTCAGCGGTGACCAGGGGAGCATTCGCACAGCTTAGGCTCGTGCGCCAGCTGCGCCCGTACCTTGGGAAGTCTGACTTGGCCACGGTGGTACACGCTCTGGTCACATCCCGCCTTGACTACTGCAACGCTCTCTACGTGGGGCTACCCTTGAAGACGGCCCGGAAGCTACAGCTAGTCCAGCGCGCGGCAGCCATGTTAATAACCGGAGCGGGACGCAGGGAGCATACAACGCCCTTGCTGTCTCAGCTCCACTGGCTGCCGATTTGCTACCGGGCCCAATTCAAGGTGTTGGTGTTATCCTACAAAGCCCTAAACGGTTCCGGCCCAAAATACCTGTCTGACCGCATCTCGGCCTATGAGCCCACGAGGACTTTGAGATCGTCCGGGGAGGCCCTTCTCTCGATCCCGCCTGCCTCACAGGCACGCCTGGCGGGGACTAGGGACAGGGCCTTCTCGGTGGTGGCCCCCCGGCTGTGGAACACCCTCCCTGTGGACATCAGACTGGCGCCCTCCCTTATGACATTCCGCAAGAGACTAAAGACGTGGTTGTTTGATAAGGTGTTTGAGTAAATGCTGCAACAATTGGCAATGACGATTGGAACGGAACATGGATAACGAGATTTGGATTGTGATTCAATGATAAGACGTCGCGAATGATTTAGTGTAATTGTATTATTGATAGTGATGTTGTTTATTGTTGTTTGTGATATTGCTTATGTTGCAAATTGTACCTGTTTTTATATGTTGTACACCGCCGTGAGTCGCCCTAGGGCTGAGAACGGCGGTCTACAAGTGCAGTAAATAAATAAATAAATAAATTTCATGGGCATTCTTGTGAGTAGCCTGGCTGCTGCATTCTGAACAATACGGAGCTTTCGGGTCGTAGACATCGGAAGGCCAACATACAGGGCGTTGCAATAGTCCAGCCTAGATGTGACCGTGGCATGGATGACTGTTGCCAGAGCCTCATCAGATAGGTAGGGTGCCAATTGCCTCGCTTGTCGTAGATGGAAAAAGGCCTGTTTGCTGGCAGCAGCGGCCTGAACTTCCATTGTCAGCTGCGAATCCAAAACAACACCCAAGCTCTTAACGGTAGGTGAAGGAGATAGGGCAGCACCATCGAAGGTGGGTAGCAAATGGGACAGACCAATCGAGTGGCCATGCCAGAGAATCTCAGTCTTCGCCAGGTTCACCTTCAGTCTACTAGCACGTAGCCAGTTCAACAGAGCCTCCAGACATAAGGTGAAATTGTCTGGTATTGATGTTGCTCCAGGCTCCAAACGCAGAAGGAGTTGGGTGTCGTCCGCATATTGGTAGCAGTCTAGGCCGAAACTCCGAGCCAAACTAGCAAGGGGTCTAACATAGATGTTGAAGAGAAGAGGGGAGAGAATTGCACCTTGGGGTACCCCACATAGGAGGGGAGATCTTTCAGAGACTTGATCCATGTACTCCACGCATTGGCTCTGGTTTCAGCTCAGTCATGGATACAGCTGCCGAACTATTCAACTGCCTCGAACTTTGAAATGGAACAGCTGATTCCATATCTACTACTCACATGCCAGTCTGTGACAAGGGGTTCCAGATATCACAGTCCTGCCCTCATTGCCACTCGCTGATCGCCATGGGACTTTTGTTGGTTTGTTTGGATTTTTCTCGGAAGACGCCTGTGCATGAGTTTTTTTTTAATGTGTGGAGGTTGGTGCACAGCCAGTCAACACAGTCTTCACAGTGAGGCCCCATCCAGTGGCATGGTTAACACAATAACCATGACTTCTTAATCTGTTGCAGTCTTCTTCCACCTTCACAGCCGTTGTCGTGTCGTCATGTTATCCTCCACCTGCTTCGTCATTGAGGTCTTTTGGTCTTTGGATTGTGCTTGGTCTGGAACCTCCCCCACGGCCACTCCTGGGAGTGCACGACTCCAGTTGTTGCACCCACAGGTTCATTGGAACATGCAAGCCCCCTCACTACAACAAGGTTACCATATTAATATAATAAATATATAATAGTAATTCTATATTAGCAACTTATTCATGTTATTGTTAGTAGTATTATTGTAAGATTATTAGACAGGTAATAAAGAAAAGAGTTTATTATGTTATATCATAATTATATTACCATAATTATCGCGCCCAGCACAATTATTCAAAATTGTTCGTGCTTTGATCAGTCCGGCTCCCTTAGTCCAGAACCCAGCAACCACGGCTCTTACAGCAGTGGCATTCCAGAAGTTTTTCACTGATAAAATCACCATGCTTCGGCAGGAACTGCCCCCTACAGTCGATACCTTGAGTGAGCTCGAGACTTTGTGGCCACTTAGTGGGCCTATCTTTGACCGATTTACTCCGCTTGACACGGAAGATGTCGCCAGAGTCCTGGCTGCTGCAAAACCAACCACCTGTTCCCTTGATCCATGCCCCTCTTGGGTGGTTAAGAGCTGCCTGGAAGGTCTACTCGATCTGTTGAGTAATATAATCAATGGCTCTCTTGAACGGGGGTCTTCCCGGACAACCTAAAAGAGGCAAGGGTTCGTCCCTTGCTAAAGAAGCCTAGCTTGGATCCCATGACCCTTGCCAATTATCGTCCTGTCTCTAACCTTCCATTCTTAGGCAAGATGATAGAGCGGGCTGTACTGGGACAATTGCAACAATTTTTGGATGACACAGCCGGCCTGGACCCTTTCCAGTCAGGTTTCCGCCCTGGCCATGGGACGGAGACAGTCCTGGTTGCCATTACAGATGAACTTCGTCGCCAGTCTGATAACGGCGGATCAGCGCTACTGGCACTTCTCGACCTTACCGCAGCGTTTGACACCGTTGACTACGATCTAATGATTCACCGTTCGCGGTCAGGCCCTCAGTGTCGTGGAGGCTCCTTAGAATCATAGAATCAAAGAGTTGGAAGAGACCTCATGGGCCATCCAGTCCAACCCCCGCCAAGAGGCAGGAATATTGCATTCAAAGCATCCCTGACAGATGGCCATCAAGCCTCTGTTTAAAAGCTTCCAAAGAAGGAGCCTCCACCACACTCCGGGGCAGAGAGTTCCACTGCTGAACGGCTCTCACAGTCAGGAAGTTCTTCCTCATGTTCAGATGGAATCTCCTTTCTTGTAGTTTGAAGCCATTGTTCCGCGTCCTAGTCTCCAGGGAAGCAGAAAACAAGCTTGCTCCCTCCTCCCTGTGGCTTCCTCTCACATATTTATACATGGCTATCATATCTCCTCTCAGCCTTCTCTTCTTCAGGCTAAACATGCCCAGTTCCCTAAGCCGCTCCTCATAGGGCTTGTTCTCCAGACCCTTGATCATTTTAGTCGCCCTCCTCTGGACACATTCCAGCTTGTCAATATCTCTCTTGAATTGTGCTGCCCAGAATTGGACACAATATTCCAGGTCTGGTCTAACCAAGGCAGAACAGAGGGGTAGCATTACTTCCCTAGATCTAGACACTAGGCTCCTATTGATGCAGGCCAAAATCTTTTTTTGCCGCCACATCACATTGTTGGCTCGTGTTTAACTTGTTGTCCACGAGGACTCCAAGATCTTTTCCACACGTACTGCTCTCGAGCCAGGCATTGTCCCCCACTCTGTATCTTTGCATTTCTTTTTTCCTGCCAAAGTGGAGTATCTTGTCTTTGTCACTGTTGAACTTCATTTTGTTAGTTTTGGCCAATCATCTCTCTAATCTGTCAAGATCGCTTTGAATCCTGCTCCTGTCCTCTGGAGTATTGGCTATCCCTCCCAATTTGGTGTTGTCTGCAAACTTGATGATCCTGCCTTCTAGCCCTTCATCTAAGTCATTAATACAGATGTTCAAGAGGACCGGGCCCAGGACAGAACCCTGCTTGTGGCACTCCGCTCCTCACTTCTTTCCAAGATGAAGAGGAAGCATTGGTGAGCATCCTTCTTTGGAATCTTTTAAGCAGAGGCTGGATGGCCATCTGTCAGGGGTGCTTTGAATGCAGTATTCTTGCTTCTTGGCAGGGGGTTGGACTGGATGGCCCATGAGGTCTCTTCCAACTCTTTGATTCTATGATTCTACTGTATAATAATAAAATAAAATAATTTAATGTTTATAAAATAGTCTTTGTATTCTAATAAAATAAAATAGTATTTTGTAATATAATACAATAAGATGATCTTACAACATATATGTAATGGATGTGTTCCTCTATGTATTTCTCCCTTCCTCTCCTCCTTTCTCTCCCTCCCCCATCCTCCCCCCCCCCCTTCCTTTCTTCCTTCGCAAAGGCTGCTGGGAAATGTAGTTCTTCCCTAGGGAAAGAAGGGAATGGAAGCCCATTCGTAGCAGCAGCAGCAGGTTGGTGCCTTGCTCTCTGTGTTTCTCTCTCTTTTCTCATTCATTCATTCATTCTTTCATTTTCTCTTCCTTCTTTCCTTCCTTCCTTTGAAAAGGATAAGGGAGGTAAAGCCCTCCCTTGGTTTCTTATTATCATTCTATCTATCCTTTTCATTCATTCCTTCTTCTTCCTTCCTTCCTTCCTTCCTTCCTTCCTTCCTTCCTTCCTTCCTTCCTTCCTTCCTTCCTTCCTTCCTTCCTTTTCCCACCCTCCCTCTCCCTCCCTCCCCCTCCTTCTCTTTTTCTTTCCTCCTTCCTTCTATTTCCTTCTCCTTTTCTTCTTTCTCTCTCTGTTTTCCTTTTTCTTCTTCCCTCCTTCTTCTAGTTTCCTTCATCCTTTTCTTCTTTCTCTCTCTGTTTTCCTTCTGTTTATTCCCCCCATTCTTCCTCTTCTCCACTGCCTTCTTCTTTCCTTTTTCTCTTCCTTCCTCCTTCCTTTTTTTTCCACCTTTCTCTCTACTTCTTTCATTCATTCATTCATTTTCTCTTCCTTCTTTCCTTCCTTCCTTCCTTCCTTTGAAAAGGATAAGGGAGGTAAAGCCCTCCCTTGGTTTCTTATTATCATTCTATCTATCCTTTTCATTCATTCCTTCTTCTTCCTTCCTTCCTTCCTTCCTTCCCTCCCTCCCTCCCTCCCTCCCTCCCTCCCTCCTTCTCTTTTCTTCTTCCCTCCTTCTACTAGTTTCCTTTATCCTTTTCTTCTCTCTCTCTCTGTTTACCTTCTGTTTATTCCCCCCATTCTTCCTCTTCTCCACTGCCTTCTTCTTTCCTTTTTCTCTTCCTTCCTCCTTCCCTTCTTTTCCACCTTTCTCTTTACTTCTTTCTTTCTTTCATTCATTCATTTTCTCTTCCTTCTTTCCTTCCTTCCTTCCTTTGAAAAGGATAAGGGAGGTAAAGCTCTCCCTTGGTTTCTTATTATCATTCTATCCTTTTCATTAATTCCTTCCTTCCTTCTCTTTTTCTTCTTCCCTCCTTCTTCTAGTTTCCTTCATCCTTTTCTTCTTTCTCTCTCTGTTTTCCTTCTGTTTATTCCCCCCATTCTTCCTCTTCTCCACTGCCTTCTTCTTTCCTTTTTCTCTTCCTTCCTCCTTCCCTTCCTTTCCACCTTTCTCTCTACTTCTTTCTTTCTTTCTTTCATTCTTTCCTTCTTCCTATCTTTCATTCTTTCTCCTATTATTATATTATTGTATTATATTTATATTATACTCTTATTACATTATTATATTATATTCATTCTATTGTTATGATACACATATGATTATATTATATTTTAGAATGCATGTTATTCTATCTATTATATTATCTTATATTTGTTTTATTTTATTACATATTTTATTAATATTATACTTCCATAACCCCCGTCCACATGGAAGGATGGCGATGAATTGGGACTGTGTTGGACGACTTGGCTTGTGTAATGTGATGATGTGTTTTATATTTTAATGTATAATGATGATGCATTGTGCTGTTTTTATATTTTATATATTTTATATTTTTACATTACTTTATATGAACATATGTTGTGAACCGGCCTGAGTCCCTCCTCGGAGTTGAGAACTTATAAATAAATAAATAAATACTTTATTACATTATTATATTATATTATTATGATGCATATATTATTATCCATTATTATTTTATTATATTCCATTATCTTTTAGAATATAAATTCTTATTATATGATATTATTTTTGTTCCATTCTATTATTTTTAGACTACATATTCTTATAATCTTATATTATATTATTATTATATTGTATTATTTTATGTTGTTATTTTATTATAATACATATATTATTATTATTTTGTATTATTCTATATTTTATGATATATTTTATATTTTATTATATATTATAATACATATATTATTATCCATTATTATTTTATTGTATTATTCTATATTTTTATAATATATTTTATATTTTATTATATTTATTATATTATATATTATAATACATATATTATTATCCATTATTATTTTATTGTATTATTCTATATTTTTATAATATATTCTTATATTTTATTTATTATATTATATATTATAATACATATATTATTTTATATTATGTTTCTAACATTTTTATAATTTTTTATAAAATATATTCTTATATGATTTTTATTATATATTTGTATAATACATATATATTATTTTCTATTATTATTTTATTATATTTTATAATACGTACTCTCATAGAATCAAAGAGTTGGAAGAGACCTCATGGGCCATCCAGTCCAACCCCATTCTGCCAAGAAGCAGGAATATTGCATTCAAATCACCCCTGACAGATGGCCATCCAGCCTCAGTTTAAAAGCTTCCAAAGAAGGAGCCTCCACCACACTCCGGGGCAGAGAGTTCCACTGCTGAACGGCTCTCACAGTCAGGAAGTTCTTCCTCATGTTCAGGTGGAATCTCCTCTCTTGTAGTTTGAAGCCATTGTTCCCTTGCGTCCTAGTCTCCAGGGAAGCAGAAAACAAGCTTGCTCCCTCCTCCCTGTGGCTTCCTCTCACATATTTATACATGGCTATCATATCTCCTCTCAGCCTTCTCTTCTTCAGGCTAAACATGCCCAGCTCCTTAAGCCGCTCCTCATAGGTCTTGTCCTCCAGACCCTTGATCATTTGAGTCGCCCTCTTCTGGACACATTCCAGCTTGTCAATAGTACTCTCATACTATATTCTTATATTATTTATATTATATTATATTGTTATAATATATTATTTTATATTATTCTAATATTTGTATAACACATATTCTTATATTCTTATGTTTATTTTATAACATTATTATATTATTTTAATATTTATATTATGCTACAATAATACATTCAGAGGTTATTTGTCGGCCTTTAATGAGATGCTAGTATATAATAATACTATAGTCATGTGTAATATGGAGCCCCCGGTGGCTCAGTGGGTTAAAGCACTGAGCTGCTGAGCTTGTTGATGGAAAGGTCGCAGGTTCAATTCCGCGGAGCGGCGTGAGCTTCCGCTGTCAGCCCTAGCTTCTGCCAACCTAGCAGTTCAAAAACATGCAAATGTGAGTAGATCAATAGGTACCGCTCCGGCGGGAAGGTAACGGCGCTCCATGCAGTCATGCCGGCCACATGACCTTGGAGGTGTCTATGGACAACGCCGGCTCTTCAGCTTAGAAATGGAGATGAGCACCACACCCCAGAGTCAGACATGACTGGACTTAATGTCAGGGGAAAACATTTACCTTTACCTAATGTGTAATATATAATAATAAAATATAATACAAATATAAAAAATATAGTAATAACCATTGCACCCTACACGTGCTCAGAGGCCCTTTGAATCCCATTAATTAGATTAGATTATAATGTGATAATATAAAATTGTAATACTAGCTTGGGTCATTTGAAAAAGGCCTTGTTCATTTTGGGAAGGAGCCCCCAGTAGCACAATGGGTTAAACCGCTGAGCTGCTGAACTTTCTGACCGAGAGGTCACAGGTTCGAATCCGGGGAGCGAGTTGAGCTCCTGCTGTCAGCCCCAGCTTCTGCCAACTTAGCAGTTTGAAAACATGCAAATGTGAGTAGATCAATAGGTACTGCTCTGGCTGGAAAGTAACGGTGCTCCATGCAGTCATGCCACCCACATGACCTTGGAGGCGTCTATGGACAACGCTGGCTCTTCGGCTTAGAAATGGAGATGACCACCGCACCCCAGAGTCAGACATGACTGGACTTAATGTCAGGGGACTACCTTTACCTTTGCCTAATGTAGATATATTTATTATAATATAGATAAGTATTATATATAAAAATTAAATCAAATTACAGTAAATATAATACATACATAATACAAATAAATATAATAAAATGTATTATTATTATTATTATTAATATCTCACAATACAAGTGGCATATAAATATAGTAAATATAATACATACACATACATAAATAATATAATAATAACAATATGTTAATGTGAATCTTACCCAGGTGGCAGCGTAGGCGTATGTTGGACATGACTGGGGAAAACCATTACATTTACCCTTGTTTGGGGAAGTTTGGTAATATCATTTAGTTAATTAGTAACACTATTTCTTTAAGAAAAGCCAGCCTTTGCTTGTGTTTTGTATGAATGCTCCCATTAGAAATTGCATAAGGATTTGGGTGAACTACAACTCCCAGAATCTCAGCACAATCACCCTGAAACCCCATCAGTATTAACAGTTGGTCATGTTGAGTCTGCAAGTCAAGTTTGGTCCAGATCCTATGTCGGCTGAGTTCAGTGCTCTCTGGATAAGGGAGAACTACAACTTCCAGAATAAAAAAAAAAAAACCCAGACCCCCCCCCCCCCACCTGTATTCCCAGTTGGCCATGTTGGGTGTGTGTGCCGAGTTTAGTCCAGATCCATTGTCAGCTGGGTTTTGTGCTCTCTGGATAAGGGTGAACTACAACTCCCAGATTCCCAGGGCAATCACCAACAAACCCAGCCAGTTGGCCATGTTGGGTCTGTATGCCAAGTTTGCTCCAGATCTGTCATATGTTAACTTGGTCCTGGACCAAACTACAAGAAAGGAGATTCCATCTGAACACGAGGAAGAACTTCCTGACTGTGAAAGCCGTTCAGCAGTGGAACTCTCTGCCCCAGAGTGTGGTGGAGGCTCCTTCTTTGGAAGCTTTCAAACAGAGGCAGGATGGCCATCTGTCAGGGGTGCTTTGAATCCAATATTCCTGCTTCTTGGCAAGGGGTTGGACTGGATGGCCCATGAGGTCTCTTCCAACTCTATGATTCTATGGTCCATTGTCGGTGGGGGTCAGTTTCTCTGAATGCAGGTGAACTATAACTCCCAGAAAACAAGGTCAATGTCCCCCAAACTTCTCCAGTATGTTCTGTTGGTCATTGTGAATCTGTGTGCCAAGGTCCAGCTCCATCATTCGTGTGGGTCTCAGTGGTTTGTTGAAGTTGGAGCTGAATTGGGTGAAAGTAC